GTTTATTGGAGATAGGAGTCTCACAGTCTCTCCTGCCTGGGCTGGCTTTGAACCGCGATCCTCAGATCTCAGCCTCCTGAGTAGCTAGGATTACAGGCATGAGCCACCAGTGCCTGGCGGTACTCTAATTTTTAAGCACATCACATTCTTGTAATTAGCCCTCACAGAACCTTATTTAGGAAGATAATTCCTACACAGGTTTTACTAGGTAAATAGAGAAAAAGCCTATATCTATTAATAATTTTGCTAGCTGTTGGTATAGGGCTCTTGATAAAATTCCTCCCCATGCTCTTTTCATGTGCTCCACTGATGACCAAGACAAACTAGCTCAGGGTTTGCCTGAGAAACACAGCCTGCTTTGTAGGGGCTGATAAAAGTCTTCATTACTGCATTTATAACCATTACTAAGTTTACTTCCTTGAAACCAATAGAGCGTAGAAAAGGATCTCCACATAAATGAAGCTTTGAGAAACAAAACTAATTTATAAAAAGGTATGCAAATGTTCTTTTTATAGATTAAAAAAGTCTAAACTTAAAAAAATTCTAACTGAAATGTGTATGGTGACTTAATGAAGTTGAAAGAGTTTACTGAGATAAATGTGGTTCCCTAAGTAGTTAACTGTTTAGTACTGAGGAAAATAGAGATTGAACATGTAGGTAGATTTCCTGTTAAGTAAAGTACAACCTTAACTTTGTAATTTGACCTGTTCAAAAGGTACAAATGAAATGGAAGGGACTATATTTTATTTAAAATAGCCCAAATTGCTAATTCTGTACCCACATGATGAAGTGTGCACTTGGTAATATCGACCGATACTAATCACTTATACACTTATGCTATGGGATGCATATTTTTGGTGATTCCTATGATCTTATTAATTGTACATATTAGTAGGGTTCTCTGAGATAGTATCATACAGGAATCAGCATGCACTGATCCATTCCAACCTCCCTTTTTTCTACCCTTCTTCCTTTATTTTTTCAATCTCAGTATACTATATTGAGATATTCTAGTTTTTTCCTATTTCTGCAAGAGTCTCTTGACTTCATTCTCTTGTTTGTTTACTTTTTCTGCTGGGGATAAAACCTAGCACCTCTTTTATGCTGGGCAAATGCCTTACAACTAAGAGTGTTGGGCTTGAGGCTGAATCCTAACGCTTGGGCTTCTAGCTGAACCTCAACACTTCATTCTCCCTCTTTTTTGCTGCTACTGGCTCTTGAACTCAGGGCTTCACAATCTCACTTGACTTTTTTTTTTTAAGTTCAAGTCTGGGACTCTGCATTTGAGACACATCTCCTTTTGTTGGTTAATTAGAGATTAGAGTCTCAGACTCCCTCCCCCCCCAGCTTCAAATCACAAGCACATGACTATTTTCTCTTTTTATATCTTTATTTTGTTTTTCCTTTTGGTAGTATCCTTTTGGTAGAATTTGAACTGAGGATATCATGCTTGCTAGGCAGGAGATTTGCCACTTGATCCATACCTCTAGTCCATATTTGCTTTTTATACTTAAGCTGAAACAGTGTAATCATAGAATTTTAGAGGTTTGAACACTTAGAGGTTACTGATTAAAATTTGGTATGGTTATACTATATACAGTTATATATAGTTTCTCTATCTATTCAATAGAATAGATAGAGAATAGATAGAGAAACTGAAGTCTAGAGAGCTTGAGACTTGCCCAGGCCACCTGCCTTATTCAGAGTGCTGCACTGCAGCTGCCCTGTACTAAGTTCTTTCTCTAAACAAGTTCTAATTGGCTGACTATGCCCTACTTTGGGAAAAGGTTAATTGTGAGCACATTCCTTTGTTCCCAGTCCTTTTCTTTGTAATGTGGGCCAGTTAATAAGAGACAACAAAGTATATTATGTTCATAGACTGCTTATAGAGTCCAGCTCATAAGAGGCATACAATATTGACTTGTCTGAAGTGAACCAAAGTGGAGGACTGAGAGAGATTCATGAGTAACAGGTAGGGCTGCAGCTGAGTACGCTTCACCCCATATTTGCTAGCTTATTTTTCATCTTTCTCTACCCTGGATAGGAAGCAGTTATTTTGTTCCCAGCCCTTAAAATATTCTTTATCTTCCTTAGGTCCTTTCCCACAACCTGTGCACCGTGCTGAAGGTTCCACATGATCCTGTTGCCCTTGAAGAGCACTTTAGGGATGATGATGAAGGGCCTGTGTCCAATCAGGGGTATATGCCATATTTAAACAAGTTTATTTTGGAAAAGGTATGATTCTAATTTTTTTCTCCCTTACAACTTTGTTTAATTGATGTTTACATGTGTGGTATGTATGTTTGATACCTATATGTGATTATCTATCCTATCTATCTATCTATCTATCTATCTATCTATCTATCTATCTATCTATCTATCTATCTATCTATCATCAAGTATACTTCAGAATTTCTTGTTGGTGATTTCATGGAGGAAGGACTAGACATGGCTTCAGTGGCAAAGTGCTTGCTGAGCAAGTATAGAGCTCTGAGCTCACACCATAAAAAGATAAATGAGAAAGAATGAGAGATTGGAGCTATTTCTTATACTTACTCTACTGTCTTCTAAAACTTGGATATTGATATTTTCCAACATGGGTTGTTATATGAAATTAATAACTGCAGTTTTCATTAATCTGTACTTGTCTACTTTCCGGGTCCTTCATTTATTCTGAAAAATATGTTTCTTTGTGTTGGCAGTTGTGTTAAAGGGTTAGTGGAGTAGAGTTAAATATAACTACTAAAGGGGCTAGTAATTATCTTTGCTATGTTTTATATTACATATATATATATATATATATATATATGTTAGCAAACTTTCTACCTAGGGTTTTCAAGGTACCACTTGGATGCTTCATCTGGGCTATATTCAGAGTAAAGGTGACAAAAACTTACCATGTGCCGGGCACTGGTGGCTTATGCCTGTAATCATGAGGCTAATATTTGAGGATCGAGGTTTGAAGCTAGCCCAGGCAGAAAATTCCCGATGAGACTCTTACTTCCAGTTTAATCACTCAAAAACCAGAATTTGCACTGTGGCTGAAGTGGTAGAGAGCTCACCTTGAGCAAAAGAGCTCAGAGATAGAGCCCTGAGTTCAAGCCCCACAACCAACAAAACAAAACAAAAAAACTTATCATGTGATTGGAAGCCATATTTAACCTATTGACATTTGTATCATGTTCAGTTTTTCCCTTGGGTTGAATCACTAACAATTTACAAATGAAAACCGGTGCTGGTGGCTCACGCCTGAATCCTAGCTGCTCAGGAGGTTGAGATCTGAGGATCGTGTTTTGAAGCCAGCCTGGGAAAGAAAGCCCATGATACTGTTATCTTTAATAGACTACTCAGAAAAAGCTGAGGGCTGGGAATGTGGCATAGTGGGAGAGCGCTTGCCTGGCATGCATTTTCAGGTTCATTTTCTCAGTATAGCATATACAGAAAAAGCTGGAAGCGGTGCTGTGGCTCAAGTGGTAGAGTGCTAGCCTTGAGCAAAAGCAGCTCAGGGACAGTGCCCAGGCCCAGAAAAAAATTATATGAAAATATGTACACATATACATAGTACATGGTGTTTCATCTCTATGTGACTATGATTATACTGTACATGTATTTCTACAACAATAAATTAGTGTCATTGTTCCAGGTTATGCACATTAACAACAACTGCCAACAGAGGGAATTCCTGTTTTTACCTTCTTACATTACCAGACATGAATTTTTTGGGGGGAACACTTCAGAAAGTGTCTTTCAGTAGTGACAATGATAATACTAATTTTAAATTAAAATTAAAATATGTTAGTCTAGTGCTGGTGGCACTCGCCTGTAATCCTAGCTACTCAGGAGTTACATCTGAGAATCACAGTTTAAAGCCAGCCCCAACAGGAAAGTCCATGATATTCATCTCAAATTACTACCAAAAAGCCTGAAGTGGAGCTATGACTCAAATGGTAGAATGCCAGCCCTGAGCAAAACTGCTAAGGGACAGTGCTCAGGCCCCTGTACCCCCACACACATGCAAAAAATATGTTTCAAAAACATTTTTCCAGGGCTAGGATGTAGCTCAGTGGCAAAGTGCTTGCCTAGCAAGTGTATAATCCTGGGTTTGATCCCAGTACCAAAAAAGAAAAAAAAATACAGTTTTAAAAACAACACATTTTCCATCTAAATGTAGCAACTATTTATGTATTTTTCTATGGCTTTTTCATATTTTTGTTGCCAAGTATTTTTTTTTTTTTTTTGGGTCCGGTCGTGGGGCCTGAACTCTGGGCCTGGGCGCTGTCCCTCAGCTCTTCAGCTCAAGGCTAGCTCTCTACCACTTGAGCCACAGCGTCACCTCCGGCTTTTTTCTTTTTGCTTATGTGGTGCTGAGGAATCGAACCCAGGGCCTCAGGCATGCAAGGCAAGCACTCTACCACTGAGCCATCTTCCCAGCCCTGCCAAGTATATTTTAAAAAAGTAAAAACTGTATGTGTGTGTATATATACATATATGCCCATTCACGTATGTATACATATACACACATATTCATATATGCATACCTTTACATGCACGCACACAGGTACCTATATACATATACATATACACATAACACATTTACATATACACACATATATTTACATGCACACATATATACACACATATAATAACAGCAAAGGATAGTAATGTTTATAATGGTAATAATTTAGTAGGTTGGAAAGTGCCAGTATGCTGGTCAGGATTCTTATTTTTTGTGTGTGTTTATTTTGGGGCTTAAACTCAGGATCTCGGCACTGTCCCCCAACCTTTTAGCTCAAGGTTAACACTCTCACTTAAGCTACAGCTCTACTTTTGGCTTTTTGGTGGTTAATTAGAGATAACAATCTCATGGACTTTCCTGCCTGGGCTGGCTTTGAACCTAAGAAGCTCAGCTCAGGTGTGAGTCACTGGTGCCCAGCTTGGTCAGGATTCTTTTTAAAATTTCAAGAGGTATGGGCTGGGAAGGTGGCAGAGTGGTAGAGTGGTAGAGTGGTAGAGTGCCTGCCTTACATGCATGAAGCCCTGGGTTCGATATCTCAGCACCACATAAGCAGAAAAAGCTGGAAGTAAGGTAGACCCACCAAAATAAAAATAAAAAAAAAATAAGATTTCAAGAGGTGACTTTCTTTAGAATTTTTGCAGCAAAGATTATGAGAATTAGAAATGTGCTCACTTGTATAATACTTTTTGTGTTTATATATTATTCTCAATTAGCCCCAAAATGGAATTTTCTGGTCTTTCTCTGTGTGAGTATGTATATATAATTTTTCTTTTTTTTTTTTTTTTGGGTCCAGTCATGGGGCCTGAACTCTGGGCCTGGGCGCTGTCCCTCAGCTCTTCAGATCAAGGCTAGTGTTCTACCACTTGAGCCACAGTGCCACTTCCAGCTTTTTTCTTTTTGCTTATGTGGTGCTGAGGAATCGACCCAGGGCCTCATGCATGCAGGGCCTCATGCTTTTGCTTAGCCATTTTCACTCAAGGCTGGTGCTCTGCCACTTGAGCCACACCTCTACTTCCTCTTTTTTGCTGGTTAGTTAAAGAAAAGAGTCTCAGATTTGTCTGCCTGCTGGTTTCGTTTCGTTTCTTTTTTCTTTTTCTATCAGCTCTGGGGCTTGAACTCAAGGCTTGGGTGCTGTACCTGAACTCTTTTGCTCAAGGCTAGCACTCATTTGAGCCATAACACCACTTGCAGCTTTTCTGGTAGCTTTCCAGCTATCTGGAGATAAGAGTCTCATGGACTTTCCTTCCTGGGATAGTTTCTATCCACAATCCTCTGGTCTCAGCTCCTGAGTAGCTGGGATTGTAGGTGTGAGCCACAAGTGCCCAGCCTGCCTACTGGTTTCTAACCACAATCCTCAAATCTCAGCCTCTTGAAAAGCTAGGATTATAGGCACGAGCCACTATATTTTTATTTTTTGGGTCCAGTCATGGGCCTGAACGGTGGGCCTGGGCGCTGTCCCTCAGCTCTTCAGCTCAAGGCTAGTGCTCTACCACTTGAGCCACAGCGCCACTTCCGGCTTTTTTCTTTCTGTTTATGTGGTGCTGAGGAATCGAACCCAGGGCCTCAGGCATGCAAGGCAAGCGCTCTACCACTGAGCCACCTTCCCAGCCCTATATTTTTATTTTTATACTTTGTAGTTTTGGGAATTGAACCTAGGGTTTTGTGCATGCTAGCCAAATAGTCTATTATTAGGCTACATCCCCAGCCTGCTTGTTTGTTGTCAGTTATGGGGTTTGAATTTAGGGCCGGGGCACTGTCCTTGAGTATCTTTTACTCAAGGCTAGCACTCTACCACTTGAGCTATAGCACCACTTCTGGCTTTTTCTGTTTATGTGGTACTGAGGAATCAAATTGGGGGCTTCATACATACTAGGCAAGCACTCTACCACTAAGTCAGATTTCCAGCCCTGTTTATTTTTTTTAATTGACAAAATTGTATGTATTTATGGGGTACAACATGATATTTTGAAACATTTGTACATTGTGGAATGACAAAATCATTACCTCACATACTTTTCATTTATTTGTAATTAGAGTACTAAAAATATACTCTTAGAAATTTTGAAATATGTAATCTATTAACTATAGTTCCCATATTATACCATTGGTCATGCTTTAGGTTGGAAAAAAGATAAACATGACAATGAAATGTAAGATTTAAATCAAACCCAGAAAAGCCATCTATTGTATGATTCTGTTTACATGAAATGTCCCAGATTGGCAAATGTTGGGATAAAAAGTAGAGTAGGGATTGCCAGGGACTCTGGAAGGTAGAAATGATGAGTAATTACGAATGGGCTTAGAATTTCTTTTAGTGATTTAGAAATTTTCTAATCCCCACCAAATTATACACTTTCAATGGTTGAGTTTTATGGTATGAATGATGTCTCCACAAAAAGATTTAAACAAATTTTGCAGTAATTCACGTTGTTTTGTTTATTAAGGTCAGGCAGTTCATTTGTGTTCCGTAGTTGTAAATCTTCCTCCTCTCTTTTTCTCTTTTTAGTATATATATATATATATATATATGTGTGTGTGTGTGTGTATGTATGTATATGTGTATATATATATATATATATATATATACGTATACATGTACACACATATATATTTCTGAGACAGAATCTTACTATGTAGCTCAGGCTGAGCTTGAATTCATGATCCTCTTAATCGCTGAGATTAAGGTGTGTACCACCAGGCCTGATCCATTATATCTTTT